GACCATGCGTGTGTCTGTATGTGCGTGCGCGCGCGTGTGCGTGCGTACGTGCGTTAATTCCTACGCGTGCGTGCACATTTGTCTGCGCGTGCGTGCTAGTACACGCTCTAGAATGAGTAACTACGGAAACGGCTACAAGCAGTGAGGTGAAATTATGGGACTCGTTAAATTTTAAATCACTGCGCAAACGAACATTTGTGCGCGTCCATCAACAATCTTCCTCCCCCTTATCTCTTTCTCTCTCTCTCTCTCTCTTTCTCCCTCTCTTTCCCCCTCTCTCTCGCTCTTTCCCTCTCTCTCCTCCCTCTCTCTCGCGCTCTCTCTCGCTCTCATAAAAACTTTCCCCAACTCATTTTAATTTCAGCAGTAACGACCGTCACTCGAATTTTATCCGCCGAGAGAAAAAAAACCCGCCTCGGTAAAATTAAAATATTTGCACATTGAAATCGCAGCCTCATCTCGATGTTCTCTTGTTCGCATGATGTGACACGTGACGCACCGCCTTCTCCATCTCTACCACATACACGCGCGCGTGCACGAACACGCCGCTCACTGACACACGCATTCCCTCTTCCGAAATACGCGCGCACGCACCTTCCCCTACACGCGCGCGAACACGCACCTTTCCCTACACGCCCGCGCGCACGCACCTCTATCTGCATGCACGCACCTCCCTTACACGCACGCGCGCACGCACATGCACATTAGTAATTATTGCTCGCCCTGTGTTTTCACACAAACACAATGCGCGCACACAGTCGCCGACCGGATGGCCAGGATTATTCATGTCTGCCCCAGTGTAAGTGTAATCCTCGTCGGCTGCTGTTGACACTAGCTACTGCTGCTGCTGCGCGGGGAAGGGGAGGGGGGAGGAGGGCGGATTACCCGTGAGAGCAAACACACCACCTCGTTGCTGCGAGACGGCGGGTAGCGTACGGGGGTGACGCAGGGTGCGTGAGTACACACACACACACATCAACAAGCACCAGGCATCGCTTACCACACACAAGCATCAGCCAGCGTCCACATTGACGATGCGGTATTGTCATCCCATCAGAGAGGACGCGAGGCTAGAATTGTCACCGATTGTTGTCGCTGCGACAACGGACAGCGGCGACAATCTAAACTGTCCTTCTCTCTCTCTCTCTCTCCTTCCCCAGCTCTCCGCCTCCAGGGAGCGGCGTTGACACGACAATAGCGACGGAGAGAGAGAGAGAGAGAGAGGGGGCCATTAATTACGGTCTGATCTGCTGTCGCCCGCACCACCGACCTCACGGCGCGAGAGACAATAGCGGGGGTGCGACAACACGCCGCGATGTGCTAGCATGCAGGGGAGGGGGTGTGTGTGCGACTACTGCTGATGCTGGACCGCGGTACGAGGATGGCTCCTCCATGGTGCAGCTCGCTACGCATCGCTGCCTCCCTCTGCCTGCCAACCATTCTTACCTAGCTCGGGCTGCTAGCGGGGGCCAGGCCGACGATATCGACGGCAAAGCACAATGCCAGAGCCCCGCGGTCACGCCGCCCGCTCAGTTCGTCTGCGAGCGCATGTATCGGCGGCTGCGCCTCTCCCCCTCTCCCCGCGCGCTCACCGCCTCGCCCTCCCGACACGACCCACGCCGCACGGGGTGACACAACCGTGCGCATAGGACGGGCTCACTGCCGAGACTGTGCCAGTCGGACACAAAACGGGCGGCTACAGCTCGAGTGAAAGTAATTGGCTCGTAGGACAAGGTCAGAGCGGGTTCGCCAACTGGTTTAAGCCACAATGGAGAAGACGGTGGAAGCGAGAGAGACCCGTGCGCCATCCAGTCACACGGGTTATACTGGTTTGACCGGGAACACGACGTCGACCAACACTGTAAGGTACGCCACACTTATCCATTCTATTTATTATGAATAACAGGAAATATTTGGCCCAGTTTTCCTCGAATGCGAGCTGACCAACAGGTGTTTTGAGTCTCGAAATTTCGGCGGTGAGCAGGTGCGATTCGAGGGATTTAAATGGCCGATCAGGAGCTAGTCGAGGTCTCTCTTGCGCGTACGTAGATTGTGTGAAAGAGAAAGGTCTTCTTCTTCATCGATTCACCTGCGATCACGATGTCCTCTCCACAGTGTTTCTCGGCTACGCACACTCGCCGGACCGCACGAGATAGCAGAACATACGGCGAGGCGTTTTCTCGCGGAGTTTAGCAGACGCCTTCGCGTGCGAGCGCCGCGGTACGGGCAGCCATTTTGTTCGTGTGCATGGCGGCGGGATATCGTGGGGAAGAGACGCGAGATATATGTTTTGCGTCGTAACGACTCGGCGAGGCTTGGTGAAACTACGTGTGCTGTGGATGAGACAGACTGTAAGACAGCTGTGACGACGTAGATATACTGTAACACTGGTGTATATAATCTCACACTGCACACACACACACGCACACACACACACACGCAAACACACACACACACAAACACACACACGCACGCACACACACACGCACGCACACACACACACGCATACACACACATTATTGTGGGAATCACACGGAATTCCTATAGAGCATATAGCCACAAGTTACGCCGCGTAAAATCAGCATGCCGTAATAGTAAAGGATGGGCTAAATCCACGTCCGAGTCATCTATCTTAAATATATCTACCTGCGTGCGTGCGTGCGCATA